CACACACACACACACACACAGACAGACAGACACACACACACACAGACAGACAGATAGACAGACACACACACACACACACACACACACACACAGACAGACACACACACACACACACAAACACACAGACAGACACACACACACACACAGATAGACAGACAGACAGACACACACACACACACACACACAGACAGACAGACACACACACACACACACACACACACACACACACACACACACACAGACACACACACACACACACACACACACACACAGACAGACAGACAGACAGACAGACAGACAGACAGACAGACAGACAGACACACACACACACAGGCAGACAGACACACACACACACACACACACACACACACAGGCAGACAGACAGACAGACAGACAGACAGACAGACAGGTTTGTATAATACTGCAGTACTTAAAGGCTTGTGACTGAGGAGCACAGATCAATAGTCATTTTCAGCAGTCTGCAGGATTATCCACCTCACTGCCCACTGATGCCATGCAAACTAAAGACACACACACACACACACACACACACACACACACTGGGACAGGCAAACACTACATGTCCTCCAGCTAACGGCGTCCTTAGATTGTCTGTGGATCCATATTTTTCAGAGGACATTGACTGAGAACATTCACTCTCTTTTTAAACCACTGAAAGCTTCCTACTCTGGTCCGCTCTGTTTTTATTTTATTTTTTATAGCATTTCATTGTTTAAACAAAGTGATGTGTCCAAGCCTCTGTGTTTTATCTGACTTATAAAATACACATTAAAATGTTGAAAAAAAACCTTATTTGACTGTTTTTTGATGATATTATTCAAATCAAAAATCAAATGTTCAAATCATTGTGACTCACTTTTGAGTTATTTATTTTTTGCAAGGATGTGGTAAAGAGAGCGATATTTGTTTTTTAAAATGTTGTAAGAAATAGTCAGCTTTAGATGACTGAAATGCAGAGTGAATGAGGACTTTAAAGCAGTACACAGAAAACAGTGTAGACAGGCAAATGCATGGCAATATTTTTGTGTTTGCTGAATTTCCCTCTTCATGTGTCTTTAATTTATTATGACTTTGCCTGTATAGGGTACTAAAAGTTTTAAATACACAGGTACACATCCACAAGATAAGTCATACATGTCCACAATATGCCAAACTAACGATTTAAGAAGTTCATATATAATATTTTGCAAAAACAATTGTGTCCAGAAAATAATGGTTAGAATATTCCCAAACAATAGGCCATGGTTATCTAAAGATATTCAAATTTGTCTTAATGAGAAAAAACATGCTTTTATTAACAGTGATACTGATGTGGTCAAAGAAAAAAGGAGGGAACTCAGATCCAAGATAAAGAAAGCATAATTGGAATATAAAGACAGGGTAGGGAGCCAGTTTTGTCTGGGTAATGCTAAACAGGCATGGGAAGGCCTTAACTCTATGATGGGCAGAGAGTGTAAGAAACCGAAGAATACTCAAACAAATCCTTCCTTTGTGAATGATTTAAATGTTTTTTATAGCAGATATGATGCAGGCGATTTTAATACAGAATGTGAGATGGTTTGCAGCAAAATTCCAACATAGTTCTAACAGAGCATGAAATAGCAGTTAGCCTTGCAAACACAAAGCCAAATAAGGCCCCTGGACCTGATGGACGAGTACTTAAAGATTGTGCACCTCAGCTGACAGGTGTCATCACCAAATTGTTTCAGCTTCTGCTGGACAAGTGCAGATGTCCAACATAGTGCCTGTACCTAAGAAACCAAGGGCAAACTTTTTAAATGATTTTAGACCAATAGCACTTACTTCTGTTTTATGCAAAAGTATGGAAAGGGTTGTATCCAAGCACCTAACATCAGCTGGGACTTGCCATCTTGATCCCCTCCAATTTGCATATAAAAGGTCAAGAGGAACTGATGATGCAACAGAACCTTAATTGACAAAGTGACCAAACACTTGCAACAGACAACAAACTATGCTAGAGTGTTATTTATAGACTTTAGTTCTGCTTTTAACTCAATCAGAACACATATCCTTTTAAAAAGGCTCTTGGATTTAGATGTGAATGGGGGTCTAATGTGTCAGAACTGACCGTTTTAAATGCAGGAGCACCTCAAGGCACCATCTTGTCACCTTTATTGTTCTCTGTGTATACAAATGAGTTTAGACTCCAAGACTCAGATTTTAGCTTATTAAAATATGCTGATGATATGGCACTTGTTGGCCTCCTATGTGCAGGGGACACTAAAGGAGAGATGTATTTTAATCATGTAGCTTCGCTCCAGAACTGGTGTCTATCGAGTGCTTTACAGATAAACATCAGTAAAACTAAAGAAATGGTTATATCCAATAAAAACAATATTTCTGACTCCTGCCTCACAATCATGGGGGAAATTGTTGAAAAGGTAAACTGCTTTAAATATTTAGGAACTTACATCGATAGTCACCTCAAATTCATAGATAACACAGACTGTGTCTTTAAAACAGCTCTGCAGAGGCTACACCTACTTAGGAAGCTGAATGAGTTTGGGGTGAGTAAAAAGATTCTTGAAATGGTGAACAAGAATCTGGTAGAAAGTATTTTGTCTTTTAACATGGTCGCATGGTACGGGCATTTAGATGTTAAATGTAAAAGAGTGGTCAATACCGCTAGTAAAATCATAGGGAAACCACAGATGCCACTTTGTGACAGGCATGTACTAAAGGACATAACAAGTGACCCTTCTCATCCACTGCACTCCCAGTTCAAAGTGCTTCCATCAGGTCGGCGATTCAGACTGCCAAGAGCCACAAAAAATGTTTATAAAAAATCATTTGTACCAAATGCAATAAAATGATTAAATTCATAAAGGAAAAAAACGACCCCCCCCCAACCCTAACTGCACATTGTTTTATGAAATTACTGTTTTTAAACCTATAACTTTATGAAATGTATTAAAACTCTGGCTTATTATTATACAAATTATTATTTTAAATTCACAAACCATGCTGACTGTGATGTTGTCGAGGACTACAGGCGTCCTCCTGGTTTCCTGCTGTGCTTGAATGTTGTCTTGTTTGTCATAACGTTTTTTCTGTCTTGTTCTTGTGAAGCCAAAGACAATTTTCCACTTTGTGGACAAATAAAGTTCTATTCTAATTCAAATTTAAACTGCAGCATAAAATAAGAGGAGACTAATTTTGACATTGTTTTATTTTTTTCCTTTTGACAGACATGGGCTTTATTACACTCAAATATTGGGTGAAGTAATTTTAGTGCCTCAATTGAGGCCTCAGCCACTCACATTTACTGATTCAGCCATGTCGATAAAGGCTAAACCCAGGTCAAGGTTTTCTCTCTGTGGGAGACATTAGCAGCTGACAATTACAGTGAAAAACCAGCAAGAAAAGCTCCTCGAAGCTTGGTACTTAATTAGATTTTAGTGTTGGACCCTTCACTACCCATGTAATTTCTATTCCCATTTCTATTCCCCAGGCGAACCTCGTAAAGCCAATACCCCGACCCTCAAGCTCGTTCTCACGCTCATCCGCCTTGATTGATTTCCAGGGAGCGACGCCGGCTGGCCTGAGCTCACTGGCCGAGCTATAGAGCGCCTGGCCCGGCGCGGAGGGGCAGGGAAGCCCGGGGGGGAGTGGGGAGGATGGATGGACGAATCTCCATCCGATCTCTTATCAGCCAGAGCAGCTTCTAGTGGGGGTACGGTTGTGAATAGTCCCCCCGCACCAAACACACACACACACACACACACACACACACACACACACACACACACACACACACACACACACACACACACACACACATGCTCCCCGACTTTCACTCATTCTGTTCTATTGGGGAGATAACGGAAACACACACACGCAGAGGGAAAGCACTGCCAGAGGTTTCCCACCAACAAAGACACAGATCATCAGACACTTCAGGGACGCGATCGGTCATTATAAAGACATGATCTGTATCTGTCCCCATGGGAGCAATTTATAATTACACTGTCTCTAACACACACATCTGTTCACGTTTTCTTCTGGATAACATCGACCTTTACATGTTCACCGGTGACATTTGACGGCATGTAAGCTTTTAGGACAATAAGAGCAAAACAATCAGTGGCAAGATGGGAACACTAGCGATAGTTTATTCACAACTGTAGAAAAATAACCAATCAAAAACTTTGATCTAAATTGCAGTTGGTAGGCTATCTTTAGTGTTAACAAAAATATACTACCAATGTAATGCAAAGGTTGTACTGATGTCTTGTTAGGCCTTAAATTAGAGCAACGAACACACACCTATCCTCATGAAGTATCTGGAAGTTAAAAAATATAGTTCTGAAAATGAGAAGCATATCAATTGAAAAATAAATAATTAAATTAAATTAAATTAAATAGAGAGTTAAAGTGAAAACCCTGAGCCACACGGAAATTAAAAAGAATAATCACAACCAATAAAACTGAGTTATAGAATGACTTTGTATGCATAAACCTCCTCCCATTGTAGTAAAACAAACCCTAAAATATTTAAATGAACTTTTAGTTAATATAGGATACCTTGTGAATTCATCGCAGTAACTTTATAACCCTCACTCATCAGTCTACAGACTATACGTTTATATTTTGTTTAATAAAACCAAACAAACATGCAGCCTATGTATGTTGTTTGTATGAAATGAGAGATTGGCGCACACACTATGAAGATGTGCGCACCAGAGGGGAAACTGATGTCGTGATGTCATCTCACCTGCGACCCTCCGCCCCCCCCCCCCCCCTCTCTCTCTCTCTCTCTCTCTGTCCCTCTGTCTGTCTGTCTCTCTCCCTCTCTCTCTCTGTCTGTCTCTCTCTCTCTCTCTGTCTCTCTCTCTCTCTCTCTCTCTCTCTCTCTCTCTCTCTCCCTCTCTCTCTCTCTCTCCCTCTCTCTCTCTCTCTCTTTGCCACTTCAAAGCTCTACTTGAAAGTGGGCTCGAGACAAGAGTAGTTGTTCTTTCCGCTTGGTCGTGCCACGCGCATCATCGTTATCCTCACCATGCCTCGAGGATTCTTGGTGAAGAGGAACCGGAGATGTTCCGCGTCATACCGGACAACAAACAATAACAACAACAAACCTGTGAAACACTCTGAAGTGAGCAAACCGGAGGCAGTGGAGGAGAGAGATTTGTTGAATGATTTTCTGTTTGAGCGGCCGGATGGAGTGCTCCCGGTGCCCCGCGAGGACACCTCCGGTGTCCGCGAGGCTTGGAGCCCGCACGTGGAGTCCGCGCTGGAGGCGGAGGCGGACCGGCGCGCGCAGTTACCGGAGACAGAGGAGCAGGTGAGCGAGGTGGACGTTTTCACTCCCCACGGTGATTTCTCCTCTTTCTTCACACCTCCTCCCGCACGCGACGCGACATTCACCGAGACATTCAGCCCCACGAGACTGCTGGAGCAGCGCGAGCTGGTGTTCCCCGGCAGACACCTGACTCTATCTCCGGTGTCAGAGCTACCGGAGTTACCGTTCCTCGTGAGCTCAACGCCGACCCCCCTGTCCGCTTCCATCGAGAGGCTCCTCGCGAGCAGCAGCCGCCACGCGCCATCCTACGATAAGTATGACCCGAGTATTGGACACGTGCACCTGATGACCTCGGAGCATCACGCCGCGAGAAAACGCTCGTTCCTTCAACCCGACCAGCGCGTGAACAGCAACAGACACAACAAACAGTCCGCGAGCGTCAAGAAACCCAAAGTGAACCGGAAACTGAATTTTGAAGATGAGGTCACGACCTCTCCGGTTCTGGGTCTGCGGATTAAGAAGGAGAGTCCGGAGGTGGTGAGGAAGCAGCGGGAGGGGTTAGGGTTAGAGTTCATCTGTCAGCTCTGTAAAGAGGAGTACCCAGACCCGATCTGCCTCGCGCAGCACAAGTGCTCCCGCATAGTGCGCGTGGAGTACAGGTGTCCCGAGTGCGACAAAGTTTTCAGCTGTCCCGCCAACCTGGCCTCCCACCGCCGCTGGCACAAACCTCGTCCCGTGAACACCCACGGAGAGACTCCCACGAGCAAAGGTCAGCCGCTGAAAGAGGCGCGTGGACTCGTGTCTCACGACAGGCAGCAGCTGTTTCCGGTAGAGGTGATGGAGGGCAAAGAGAACGAGCTGCTGCTGCGCGTGAATACAAACCAGCACCGCGGCACACCGGACAGCTCCCTGCTCCCCCGGGGTCGGTCCCGGGACAGCCCTGAAAGCGACAGTCTCGTGCCCCCTCACTATGATAACATTCATTACCGGAACCCGGATGAGAACTGTTTGGACCTTCAGCCCCCCTCCTCGAGCCTCCTTCTAATAAACGGCAACCCAGACGAGCGCGCGGACCTTCCCCATCAGCATCCACAGTCTCTCCCTCACCCCCCTCTCACCCCCCTCTCACCCCCCTCTCGACCCCCCGTGTCGTTTGTCCAGTCGTTACCGGAGGAGGAAGTGTACGAGTGCCAGTACTGCGGCAAGAAATTCCGCCGACAAGCTTACCTGAAGAAACACCTGGCTGCGCACGAGATGACAGCGCGCGCCTCGCCCCCTCCATCATCTTACCGCCACGCGCGGGACACCAGTGGTGGCCAGGTGTTCCTGTGTCACCTGTGCGGCGCGCGCTTCCCCTCGGTTGAAATCAGGGACAAGCACCGTTTGTGGCACGCGATGAGGGACGAGTTAGTGGCGGGAGTTTTGGGAGGAGGACTCAGACCGGACGTCTTCCACGCGCAAGGAGAAGAGAGCGCCGCGAGGGAGTGCGAGCAGCAGCAGATCTTCACGTGCAAGCACTGTCCGTCCACGTTCTTCAGCTCACCTGGGCTCGTGAGACACACCAACAAATGTCACCCTGCGGAGAACCGGCAGGTGATGCTCCTGCAGATGACCGTGCGTCCTTAAAAATCACAACTTATTCATTATTCTGTGTTCTTAATCGGGTAAATATTCGAGCATTATGTTGTAAATTCAGTCTTCAACATGTTCGTTCAGTTAGGTTAAAAGTTATCTGTGTTCAAGGATCCGCCAACCCTAATTCTCTAAAGATGGAGTCCTTTAGTCATAAAGTTCAGTACAAGAACGTTCTAGCATACAAGAACGATGCAAATATCATCTATGGTCATGACAAAAGAATCCTAAAACAAATGTATATTTGTGTTTCGGTACATACGGGCAGTTAAAGGTGAGCTGTCCGTGGTGCTGAAACTAAATCAAACTGGTCCACGGTTCACCATCGGACTTCTCTGTTGTTCATACAATTCTAACAGGCCTGATTATATTCTCAATACTTCAGTAATGAGTGAAACATATTTATTTTCTTTTTTTTCTAGTAAAGTGGACATTGTCATTGTCAATCAATACGTAGCCAGGCCATTAGACTGTTCGATATGTTGAAACTTGAAACAGATAATGACGTTATTAAACCCTTATTCAAAGAGGCAATCGTTTTCTGAAATACGTTAGTTAAACATTATTTTATTATTATTTTTAAAGATCAGCAAAACAAACCTTAAGACATTTTTTTTGTATTTCTGTCTGTATTTGGACAATTCAATCTTGATGAGCTTACATTAAAGGAGTTTGTCTGAAAGAGAAAATTTGACATGGATATTATTATACTCAAGCAATGAATGACAATGTTGTCTTTAATTCTCAATATCTCTGAGACAAAATAACAAGATTATAGAGAAGTGTGAGAAAATTTAAAGTATGTTACATGACTAACTGGCACAATGTGTATTAACCTGAAATGATATAAATAAAAGTGACCTTCCTTACCCCGAGAACTGGAGACATCATTAATGTCCAAGACAATTTCATGTACAGTAAGAAAAAAGACCATAATATGCCTTTAAGAGAACATTTGCCAGTAAACCTCTCATCCATAAAATATTTTCATACAAAAAATGGAAACTTTAATGTGAGTACTGTAAGGAAATGTCTTTTGTCTTATTGATTATAAACTAATAAAAAATAATGACTAAATGCCTTCATGCTTATAATGTAACTGTGGTTCTGTAAAGCCTGTACACTACTATTTTCATATGTTTGAAGTTCAATGTGAATTTGAATAAAAATTGTCAATAAATGTTAATACAGTATGCTCAATGAGGAGACCTGTCCTGTTGACCTTTTAATGTGCCCCCCCCACCCCACACACACACACACACACGCACGCACACACACGCACTATATATGAACTGATCCGAGTGTCAGTGGTAGGAATCGTTTATTGTCAAATTCCATCATCACACATTTACACTCTCTGTTTCCAAAAAGAGTCACTGAATGTGTTCACACTACAGGTCTGACAGTAACATCGTTTGAGGAGTGTGTGTGTGTGTATGTGTATGTATGTATTGTGATACAGCTGTTATTAAACACATGCAGATAGTACTGAACGGGTATCATGCAGTATGTACAGTCAGTAGTTACAAACATCAGCTTTGTCCCAAACAAACATCTGGACAACAGCTAAACCCGTATCCATCACGGCTGCATGTTCAGAGCATCAGAAGTTCCTAATGTTTCAATATGAAGGGCTTTCTTTCCGTGGTTAATATGCCTGCAGAAGACAACAATGATCCCGGTGAAAAAGGCTGAAAAATAATTCTACTTAACAATCCTCCAGGCAGAGCTTGGAGTGTAGCTGATGTGACTTTAATATATATATTTTTTAAACGCTTTGGGTATATCAGCGTCTTTGTTCATTGTGGCTTCTTCAGGGTTTAAAAAGAAAAATTAAAGGGGCGTACATTTCAGCTCAGTTCAGACAAGAGGTCCAAATTTCATGCTCTGAAACCTCCTGAGTCTGTAAAACAAATGTTAAAGTAAACTTCCTATCTTTTCTAATCAGATCTAAAATCAGAATCATGACTCCCGTTATGTTTGTTTGCAGTTGAAATAATCCTGAAGTATATAACTGTGAGGTGTAGCTACTGGCACAGAGATCCAACACACACTGCGACACAGTGTGTGACTTGCAGGCGAGCGTGTAGAGATCTGTCTGAGAGTGCAGGGGGTCGACTCTACTCTACCAACTGCCTCAAATAATCAACTGTGCTTCAACCTCATCAATACTAAGTGTAACAGCAACAATTTCAAGAGGCAACCTTTAAACCTTAAATGACTTCAAATATTCCCACACAGTGACACGTGACTTTTACCTCAAACTATAACGGCAAAGTTTAGTTAAGTGAACTTTAAATTTCAACCCAGAGAGGGGTCAGAGTAAAAAAAAAATCCCTTTCCTCTCTAAAGAGCTATGGCTGAAAAAACAAACAAACATCAGTAACAGAAGAGACAGCCGTGAATACACCAAGTGAAAGCAGCTAAGCTCAATACATTTAAAAAAAAAAAAGCTAAAATAAAAATAATGGAGATGTAAGAAAAACAAGCCATCATTAAAATAAATGGAAGGATGTTGACTCCTTATAAACCAAACTCTAACAGTGTTAAGAAAAACCTGAAGTAAGAACCATGTGAGCTAATTGGAGTCCTTGCCAGTTTTATTTGAGTTGAGTTGAACTGACAGAGCTGAAATGATGGTGTTAAATACATACAAGTCATCTATGGTAGTGTTAAACTTTCTGGATCACATGCTAATCCCCCTCCATCAGAAACTGGAGCTGGGGGGACGAGTCAAAATACACGAGGAGTGAAAAACAAAAAAGAAGAAACACAAAACCTTTCACCTCTAGGAGATATGATGAACTCTCCTTTCTCCTATTTTTGGCTTGTAGTTGGTTCTACTACACTTTTACACCATCCATCCTCCTCTTAACATGCCAATATGTTTAAACACAGAAGATGAAATCTTTCTCTTTGAATTGCCCAATCTGGTGCTAAGGTTATTTATATACAAACACAGAGAAGGGGGTTTAATCTGCAATGAAAAAACCTTTGAATTCCAAGAAAACAAAAAGAAAATAACAGAAGCATAAAATCATGTAGTGTCAACATATTTGAAGCAGATATGCTGTCTGAGGTTAAACCACAGTTTGGCTTTGGCAGCTATTCTCATATAAGAGTATTTACACAACAAGCCTTTTCACACTGTACACATTCATAAAGATACTCATATATCTACTATATATATATATATATATATATATTTATACTCATACATGTATAGATATACAGAAAACATAAAGTCAAAATACAAAAAGAAAGGAAAGCTGTGGTTCCATTGTATCAGATGATGGAGTGACACTGAAATACAGCAATGTTCTTATCCGGGTCGAAACAGATTCAACAGCTACGTCTTCAAAAAATGAACAAAAAGAAAAAGACTCAATAACATCAGTGCTTCAGAACATTTTACAGCATGAGCAAAAAAAAAAACCTAAACTATATATAACAAGTGCTTCCACTTTGATCAATTTATCCCGTTTACTTTGTAGAAATCGAGACTCTAACACTGTTCCTCTCAACAGGGTCATCTTTCAGTCCCACTTACTCCAGGAAGGGATTTTCTTCTGGAACATTTTGGGGCTTCAGAGTGTTTCTACATAAAAAAACAAAAAACAGTAACTTTTTTGTTGTTAGCAAAATGAAATTTTCTATTTACATTGAGGACTGAAAAGAAAATGACCCTCTGTCCTGTTTCCTGCTCTGACAACAAAAATAGACTTTTTTTTAAATCTTTCTTTCTCTGTGCAACTCTCTTGATTTCATTCTGTAAGTATCAAAACTCATGTTTCTGTACACACATGCAGCAACTATACAGTACAAATATACAGATTCTCCACAGCGGTGTTCTGAAGCCTTTCTGTTTCTCTTTTCATCTCCAGCGCACTAAAGTTTTTGCAGTCCTTGTCACACTGACGTTTTACATTTTGAGCAGTTTCTATCATGGCACAGATTATTAAGAACTAATACTGCACTGCTTAGGCTGCACTGGTTCAGCATGCTGTAGCACCTTACTGGTTCAAGTGTTTTGAGACAGCAAAGTTTAGGATAAAATCAGAAGTAGTGAGCAGTTTCAGAATAAATTCATGGTATTATACAGTCTACAGAATACTATTAGAAAGCGTTTCCAATGTTTGTTCAGAACTTTGTTAAACACCTGCCATTAAATTCAATGTGTCATCTACAATTGTTCAATATGGGACCAGATTTTCCTCTGGAGAAACCGTTTTCAAGAGCTAAGTGTCTCATGCTGAAGTGTCTGTGTAGTCTGAAGAATCTTAAGTCTTATTGGCTGATCCAGAGGAGCGTCGCAGCTTCATGGACATGCGGCTCTTGCTAGTCCGAGGGGACATGGGGGACGCCGAGTCGCTCCCGGCCTCCCCAAGAGCCGGACTTTCTCCCCGAAGAATCTCTAGGCAGGAGCCTGTGAAAGAAGGGGGGGGGGGCATGTGAAGGGAGGACGGATGAGGTAAGGGATCAACGAGGGATCCGGGGATACAGGAGAGGGGAGGTGGAGGTAGATAAGAGCAGAAGAAGGGATGAAGGGACAACAAGAGTATTACATCACTTCCCCATCATGTTGCACTGAACCCAGACTGCACAAACTTCTAGAGTGACAGGACAGACAGGATGACAGACACGCAGACAGACAGGATGACAGACACGCAGACAGACAGGATGACAGACACGCAGACAGACAGGATGACAGACACGCAGACAGACAGGATGACAGACACGCAGACAGACAGGATGACAGACAGACGGTGAGACAGCTAAAAGACAGGAAACAAAGAAGCAGCTCTATTCTTATTCTTGATCAGATTCTGCTCAGGTTCTAGAAATATCAAGACAGACTGAAACTTAATATCATGAGTGACACACTATATAAAAATAACAAAACATTGTTTTAAGGTGCTGATGTTGCACAAATGGTTCTTTATCAATATAATCAAGGGGCTGATTGGCTGTTCTTCCGAGCTAACATATTTCTTGGGACGAAGTCAGCAGGAGAAGTTAATTTACTTTTTATTCATCTAGACATTGAAACAGAAATTTGATGTAACTTTTGGAAAAGATCAACTGGATTCTGTCTGTGTTTCTGATGTTTTTCCTTTGAGTATCTGTTGTGTCTTGATGCCTGCTGCAGATCTTATTTCCTTCAAGATTATAATACAGTTTAAGTTGAGTTTCTATCTACACAGCATACCATTCACAGCTAGCATGAAGGACCTTCTGCTTCAGACCCTTCCCCTTCACCCTGAGCAGGTTAAAGCTGTCTAGTGGTTTAGGAACCATTGAATACATGGCACTATGCTCCTCTAGAGAGCAGGAGAGGAGGGGAGGAGGAAGTGTTGAGGAGATATAGAAACAAGGACAGATGTAATGGAGGGAAACAGGAAGAGAAAGAAACAAAAGGAAAGGAAAGGAAGGGAGGAAGGAAACATTTGGAAATAAGAGGAAAGGAAAGGGAAGTAATGAGGAAGTGAGGAAAGGAGTAAGGAAACAATGGGCAACAATAGGAGAGGAAGGTGAAGGAAAGAAAATGAGAGGAGAACAAGACAAGGTGGAAAAGAAGAATAAAAAAACTCAACACCAGGAAACATGAAGAATAAATATAGGTAAAGGTGGGGAAAGAAAATATAAAGAAAAAAAGAAAACAAAAGAGAAGAGTGAAAATACCACAAGAGGAAAAAGGGAGCAGTGAAGGAGAGTGAAGGAGGGATGGTCAGAGAAAGAAAAGAAAACAGAAAAAAATGAATATAAACAAAGGAAAACACACATGAAGAAAATAATGCAACACATTTAACAGAATGGAAAACAGTGACACAAACAGAGTGACAACACACAAACATAGCAGGAAACATGTAAACACATAAAACTGAATGTGTTTGATAATATTTTGCACCTTTTTTGCACCACAAATGTTCAAATTTCAAAGGTAACATACCAACATTAAGTTAGTGTTAGTTGAGTTATACATTGCAACAATGTGTGTGGACCTTTATTAGATATGCTTACACCTTTAAAGACTGTGTGTGTGTGTGTGTGTGTGTGTGTGTGTGTGTGTGCAAAGTGCTACAGCACTACATGATATCAAAACCAGGAAGAGAGGAGCATACAAAAGGTCAGAGGTTAAGTTTCAGCGGGTCAGTGTGAAGTTGCAGGTTAACAGAACAAACAGGAAAGTTATTGAGTGAATGAAAAGACTAGAGAGAAGAACTTTATAAAAAAAGGAAGTCTCATTTTCAGCACGTCAGCGAGTATAGGTAGGTATGAAGCAGATCTAAAGAATATGCTCTGCAGTGTTGCATAGACAAAATGTAATCCCCCTAAAATAAAAAAAGTAGCTTTTTGAAATGCATATAGAATAACCAAATGATCAATCTCAAAGATGTTAGTGACACTTCACATTATGCAGCATACCTGTATTCCCAGATACAACAGGCAGCTGTTTTTAGTAAGATTTAAAAATAAATAAAACTTAAGCTCTTGAAACCTCCCTCTTCCAGACAAACTAATAAAGTGGCTGTTTAATAAAAAAGTGGACTCAGCAGATAAAGAGGTGTTATTCTTTTCCTGATAGCTATGTCTAGTCCCTCCCTAATGTGCTGATTCGTTAGCACTTCTTTGCTGTGATTAGCTCTTTAAGCCGCAATAATGCTGCATTCATGTGGTGTCTGACACATCGGAAAAAACAGTTTCTGAGTTGTAAAATGCACATGAACACCTGCTCAAGTCGGAACAACAACTCGGAAACTCGGAAAAGAATGGTGTGCCCGTCAACTTTTTGCTTAAATATCACTTTTAACGGATACATTTCACTGATCTTCTTCGTAGCATCAACGCTTTTATTGTGCTGTTGTTACAACATTCAGATTTTCAGAACTGAAATCGCGTTAACAAGAACGACTTCCCAACTTGGAAACTTGGACCACCTGAGCAGCACCTGAATGCAGCAGAAGTCAATCACAGGACATTCACCCAGGAGACTTCTGTTCTTGTCCAGTGTGAGACCAAATGTTAGTCGACTGATTAATTAAGCCCAAACCAAGATCTTTAACCAAGCCTTACCAAGTATGTCTGTGCCTTAAATTAATCAACATCTAGTGAGGTTTAAGCATCAGAACTACTTGTTTAGGGTTAGAGAGCAGTGCGGTCCTGGACTTCTTCATAAAATTATTTCTGACAGGAAGTCCTGATGGAAAACTTTGAGGCAACAAACACAGCAGGGAGGATTAGGAAAAAACTCTATTGGAAGAAACTCAAATTAAAACTGTTCTAAAGAGTCAGAGATTTTCTCCTTGAGCTGGTGGAGACCCAAACAGTTTAAAGGAGACTAAATATGTCTTTGTTGGTCAGGATTGTTGCTCTGTCTTATGTGAAAATAGGCAGCTGTTATTAGAGCTGGGTGTTGTCCACAAGCTCACAATTTGATTCGATTTCGATTCTTTGGGTCACGATTCGATTCGATACTGATCGATATGCTTCCATATCGATTCAATATTACACATAGGTGAGAGAAACACCCAGATAACTAATCACAGTAGCTTCTTATATTTGTTAAATAATTATGCGTTTGTATTTGTTTAAAACAAACTGACTCAAAAATGTATTTTATCTTTGCATTATTCTTTAATAAACAAAGAATAAAACATTAAAGTACTGTATGATCTAAAGTGCAAAATTGTGTCTGAGCTGAATTCACAGCACCCACAGCGCCCCCAGTGGAGAGGGGTGTCATTACAACGGAAAAAAACAATTGATCTCAGGATTTCCCTGAATCGATACAGAATTGGGAAAATAATAATTGCAATGCATTGATGAATCTATTTTTTTTTAAACTTGCCCTAGCTGTTATCCTTAGTAAATGAATCTCTAATAATACATTAAAAGGTAGATCATTTGTAGCATATAACGTTAAATAATAAGAGCTGCAATATAAACTAGATCACATTTATCTAAATAAAAAAACTAACAAAAACAAAGCAAAGCCCTGTAACTGCACGCTCAGTTAACAAGCAAACTGTGATAGGTCATACCATATATCACCCACAGATGAGCAGAAAATGACACTTCCTTTATCCTTCAATTATGAACACATGCAGACCTGCTTAAACTGTGAAAACACAGAGGAGAAAACAGCCAGAGAAAATGTGACAATACACAATATGCTGGAGGAATCAGAGAAGAGCAAAGGTTAGGCTGAAATGTCAGAAGGAAGAGCCAATCAGGAGGGGTTGTGTCATCATGTGACCAGGCTTACCTTTTGTTTTGTTTTTAGCTATAGGCAAGTGAGACATTATGATCTAAAGGAGGGGGGGACAAAAGAAAAAGAAGGACAAAAAAGGGAAAAATACAGAAAGAAAAAAGGAAAAGAAAAACCAAAATAAATAAAAACAATAACAAAATCAAACAAGTAAACAAAAGAGGGAAAAATTAGACAGAAAAAAAAACAGAAAGAGAGAAGAATGTTTGATCATTGGGCTGTTAAGGGAGGGGAACCTGCAAGGAGGGTGGCAGTCAAATTTAAGCAAGGTTTGTTTCAGAGCACAGGATTATAAGGCTGTCCACTTTTCTTCTTTAAGGTAAGAGGAGAAGAACATGAAATGCATGTGAGACTTCTTAATGAGCCAGAACTGAGAAGTTCAAGTACTGAAATCCTTGATTCTGTGCTCTGAAATAAGATTTGGGGCCGAACAACACACTAACAACCCAAGAAGAGCGATATATTACTTCCTGACTAATACATTTTATTCTAAGTGAAAACTTTGTAAAATGTCAGCATCTCAGGTTGTGTGTTATCCAGCCTCAAAGCAGGGTGATTATTATTATTATTATATAATTATTAATATATATGCAACAGTAGCTGGTGAGATGAAGATCAGTTATCAAGTGAAACAAAAACAAGTTATATACACATTTAAACGTCCACAATCACATCTGGGACTGTATCCCTACATGAATATACTGATAAGCTACCAACACAGACGTCACACTGGGTTACGTTATATAAACGCTGTGTTGCATTATTGCAAATAACCTTGTTGTTGAATATACTACGTGGGACTCAAAAAGCAAAACTTTTCAGAAGTACACACTACAAGTCTAAACATGAAGTTCTCAGTATCTCGGTATTAAACTTAATATAATTCATATGAGAATAATGCATTAGCAAATGGCGGCCATGTACATCTCTGGCATCTTAACGGCTGATCAGCTGTCAGCTAATTCCTCAGAGATACTCTGGACACACAAGAAGGCCGAGCAAAGCTCTGACGGGAAAACACAGTGTAATATAAACAAGACTAAACAGACTGTGAGCTGTCTTTGTGTATACTGGGCAGCTCTGTAGTTTAATGATGCTAGGTGTTTGCAAGCAAATTAATTTAGCTGGCAGCTTCATCACAGTTACTGAAAAGGAAAAAGAGTGGTGGTCTTTAAATTGCCCATATTTAAGAGCTCAACGTAATGTACTAATGTGACTCTCTTTCAGTTCTAAAATTTTCCAGAAGTTTTGTAGTAAGTGAATTTCAGTAGCTATGACATTAGTGTTCAGATTTGGCTACTTCACTTCAACAAGCAGTTCACAAAAGTCCTCACTAGCATTAGATCGGCTTAAATGTTATTCCACTGCCAGAAATGTTCCTCTTTATTTAAAATACTTTGTGTCTTATTCTTACAAGCTTCTTATGGTGTCCCACAGGGATCCGTTATTGAGCCCTTACTATACTTTCATTTCTGCTTATTTTAGGATAGATCACAAAATGATTAAATAATAGGTCTAGTTATTTTGGGATGATATCCTACCCAACTTTTCTTTGAAGGCCCTTTAATGTAATTAAGAGCCAATACATGCTCAAACTTTTTGACAGCTTTGTAATGCAGTCAACGGGATTAAATTGAGACCTCTACAGATCTTATGAATGCATTTATATCATCGCACAACATTTTAACCAACTTTTCTCATCACAATCAAGAATACTGCTGCAAGACTGCTCACAAGTGTTAACATACCTTTGACATAGTGTGGTTCTAGTTTAAATTCCTAATCTCACTTTACTGAGCATTTATCAAAATGCCAACCACAAAGATTTTGATTTAAAGGTTTGGCATGTGCTGAGGCATAATATTTGTGTATTTGGTTATTGGCTGCTTCACTGAGGAAAGCTTGGGTCATACCTGTGTCAGAGGGCAGGTGTGTGCAGGGAGCAGGACTGTAGACTCGGGCTGCGTAGTCCTCAAATGTGGTCGGCTCCTGGTGGTGCTGCACGATGGTTTCCAAGTATCGGGCACGCTCCTCATAGCTGATATCAAAGTCAAGGTCAAACCAAAAAGAAGACGAAGGAGGCAAATAGATGACGAAAAGATGAAGACTGTTATAAAGCGAAACAAACATTACTGCTGATGTCATAGATTTGTAATCTGGGTGACTTTAGTTGTAGTTTGGAAACTTCATAATATCAACAGGAACAGGGGCTGGGTTTGACATGTTTACATGGCGGGGAGGGAGTTATGTAAAACTATTACGTTGCCTAATGGGAAATATATAATCCACACTCCAAGGAGCATGACCCATGGTTTGATATACAAATCAGGATCTCTATTAAAAACAAACAAACTGTATCTTAATAGTCTTCAAACTTTATGGACACTTATCAGTGACGTTCCTCTTTAAGTAAGGTTTAAGTAGAATATACAGTATGACACTTTAACTACTGCACTGTTTTAATTTAGCTCGTTCCAAACAAAGCAATACTAACACACCTGAAGTATCTTTATCTTTCATTAAACATATTTACATTATTTTCCAAATATCTCTGGAAATGTATTATGAAAGAGCAAAAAGTGCGTTAGGCTTTTTGTTTATCAGATTTAACTTAAATTACCAGAAGAAAAAAAACAATATTAAAAACAGTAGAATAGAGCAGAAAACAAAAGTAAGACAACAGGAAACTAAATAACCAACTCTAACAAAACTGAAGTGTTAAAATGGTAAAGGTAAAATATGCAAAATCCAAAAAACCAACAACACAACTAAAATGAAATAAACCAAGATTAAAAACACTATCTGCATCCCCATGCCTGTTAACTCCTTATACCTAGTTTTCCAAATGAATCTTTTGAAATTGCTGGAATGAAAACGGGACACCAAAAGCCCCTTTGTCATGTATTATAAGAGCGAGCCTTCAGCAATGAATTCATAGAGAGACACAGGGATTCAGCAGAGAGCCGAGTAAATGGAAACCGAGACTACAACTGTCCATCTATTAGTGATAACCTCATTGATAGAATGACATTTACCCTCTCTCCCTTACTCATACATCTACCCATAATGACAGTCAGATGCAGCCCTTACAGTCGCTCTGACACAAAACTCACTCCCATCATCTCCCCATAGTATTTCCATTTACTCAGGGAGCTCCAATAACTGAGGTTTTTCAATGAGAGCAAGCACAGTGTGTATATGTGTGTACAGTATGTGTGTGTGTGTGTCTATATTCGCTAAGATTGTTTGTGAACAGGCACAATATGTGTATGTAAGTGCATGGGTCCCTGTTCTAGTGTGTGATGGGATCAGGCCAATGAATCTTCAGAATGAAATCTGTGTTTTTGGACCTCAGCGTGTGTGTGTGTGTGCACATTGTGAATGGGTCAGCCATCTGTAATAGCACCCATGGGTTTTCTATTGGGTTAGAGAGCCCGTCTATGGGCCTCAGAAGGAGAAGGATTCAGGTCTAATGGTAACTGATCCAGTTAGAGACAATGATAATAACAACAATATGGCTCCTTTAAAGTGGAGGGACAGACTGCGCTGGCGGGGTAGAAGAGAAGGGAGGGGGCTGAGATGAAGAGATGAGTGGACATGTTGGAAAAGAGAGAGAGTTATAAAAACTTAAATAAACTTTGAAAAAACAAGTTTGTCAAAATGCAGTGATGTGAATTTTGCATTGCTTTCTTGCTTGAGTTCTACATTTAATCATTTGTGTTGATCTGCATTGGTTTAAACGCTACAACACAGCAATCTAGCTGACTATGACTGTATGAAGCTAAATCAATTTGGCTGTGACTGATTAGCAAAAAATAGATATTTTCATGATGATAAGATGTAATTTTTTACAAGAATTGCAAACAACTTTTTTGTAGGGGGTTTTGCAGCAAGCCTCAAGTGGGCTCACCCAAGGGTGCTGCTTGGGGCATTATTTGGGCACACTTTGTTTGATTTCTAAAGACTTAAATATGTTCTAGTTCAGTACTAAACATCAGTCACAGTTTCAAAAACACTTCTCGAACCCTCTCATCAACCATGCTGACAAAAAGGAAATGAGGGAGAACTAGTTTGTCTGAGAGAGAACAAAGGGGGCAGAGAGGGAGGGATGGAGGTTAAAGGTGCAAAGAAGAGGCGAGATACAGAAGGAGGAAGGCAACTTGTAAAAAAAAAAAAAAAAAAAGGTGGAAATGGCGAGGGTGAAGAGGAAGAAAAGTGAGATTCCGGCTGTGAGTCATGAAAGACGAGGGAGGGGAGGACAGTGGGTGAGACGGGTGAAGGAGAGATATTTAGGTAACAACATGATGGGGTGTGTGCTTGTCTCCCGGAGAGAGCACACACACAAAGAGTGTCAAGCCCCGTGTGACTCACACCAAGTCCCAATGTGAACTCGCCGTTTGCCTTTTCCTGCCACTCCCCTGCATCGCACATCCCCGCTGTGGAGAACCAGTGTGTGTGTGTGTGTGTGTGTGTGTGTGTGGGGGGAGAGGAGCTGTGAGGATGTAATGAAAAGAGCAACTCATACTATTTTACATTCTAGCAAACAACACAATTAATTTTAAATAGTTTTAAATATTGTGCCGAAGTATGAAGCAGCAGCTGGGACAGAAAGGTTTTTCAAGTGTATTGCCAATTACAAAAAAAGGCTTTGTTTGTCATTTCTGAGAAGTGGAAAGGTTTCACCCGCAGAAAGAAATATAAAGGCAAGGAGGAGTGAAAGAAAGAACAAAGAGAGGACAGAAAAATAAATACACAGTAATGGTCCACTGCTGAGATAAATGAGAACCATCACTTTTTCTTTGTCTGGCTCCTTTATATCTCTCTCCCTCTTTATTTCTCTCAGCGGGAGGGTGGTCAGCCTGTGGCCTGATGTCACTCTGTCACAAACACCAGGCTCCCAACTAGGTAGGGATTATATGAGGAGAGAGATGGGGGGGGGCTCTTGATACCAAACTTAAATAATCAGAACTATCTCTGTTTTTATTTGTAATTCAAGGTGTTTTCAATCACTCTAATTAAACCACTGAAGTTACAAATAGACTTACACGAATATCACTCAGCATCAGTCGGGTATTTTGCATGGCACTGTCTTTGCTTAAGATATACGCTGGCTCAGTATTGTGTATGTCCCCCTTTTGCAGCCAAAAATGCCCTGACCAATCAGGTCACTGTGTGTAACAAGAAATACCTTTTGTTAGCAATTCAATCTCCATCATGATTGACAGCTCTGTTGACAAATGAAGCCTCTTCAGGGGTCGAGGAATAGCAAGAAGAAACCTAACGAAACCTAACACAAGTGTCATTCACCTTTCCATTAGCAGAGTGTCTGTTTCAAAGTGGCACAGGACTGGGCTCTGCTGTACCGACCTGAGGGATCTTTGAATTTTTAATCAGCAAGTTTAATGTGTGCTTCGGTTAGCTGAAGGGGCAGGATGTGAAATATGTGGCTACACCAGCCAGATCCCTTCAGTGCATGTTCTGTTAACGCCCATCGCTGGTGGTATTTTGGCTTCACTTCTGTAGAACTGAAGGAGACGGAGACCTGCCGTCCACATTTTATTAAGACTTCAGATGTGCAATGACATTAACTTATAATCTGTCCATCAACTGTAGAAGAGTACAACTTAGTGGTTTTACTTGAGCAGTAAATGGAGCTGCATCATTCAGCATACACACATATACACAGTGTAGAGGTACCCTGTTTCTCTCAGGCACTTAAACGTCTAAAAAGGAGGATGAAGCTGAAAAAATATTATCTGAACTGAATTTTGATCTGCTGTCGTTGCCAAAAAGATTAAACTATTTCACATTTTAATAAAATGATTTGAAAAGTGAATATTCAAAATAAATTAACTGCCAATCTGTGTCATATTTTTTATGTCACCATCTTTTTTTTTACACATTTGTCTTCTGTTTGTTTACATTGATTTTGTTGCTTCCAAATATTTTCTTAATTTGAGATGGAAGATTCATTTTGCCCTTGGATATACTAGTTTATATTCAGTCACGTCACCTTTTCTTTATCGCTCTTACTGAGCAGTGTTCTTTTAGTTTGATTCCTCATTTTAATCCTATTTTGTTTCATTCCATTATATGCGGCATCTGCATGAAATAACCACCACATTCAAAAAGTAGAGACCTGCGAGAGGTCAAAGAAAATAACCTTGCATTGCCTCCACACATCAGTGCCTTCATCCCTCCCTCCAACAAACAGCAGTCGGCAGTATGAAATCAACTGTAATTGAATTTTAGATGGCTTCTCTTATTAAGTCATTAGCAGAAAATATCTCTCATATGGAGAACCAAAAGGGAAGAAAGAGGAAAAATTATAAGGGAGAAAGAGGGATAAAGCAAAAAAAAGAGAAAGCAAGAGGGGAGAAAGGCAGATAGGGGAAAGAAAGAGGAGAGGTAAAATGGCTCTTTTGTATCGAGTCAGAAACTCATTTTCTTGTGCATAGCTGAAAAAAAATAGAGGAGAGAGTGAAGTGTTCGTGCCTTCTCCAGCCCTTTCTCTCTCTCCATTTCAGTCCCTTTCTCTCCCTCTCTCTCCTGCAGCGCAGTTCATTGTGGCGGTGTTCTGAATCCTGCGATCACTTCAGAGTGATGGAGGCAGGGGGAGGAGGAGAGGAGACGAGGAGAAAGGGAGCTTGTTAGCGCATTAGGAGCTGGGCCCACCGCTGTGATGTGTGTGTGTGTGATGTGTGTGTGTGTCGCCATATCTGATTGCAGAGCATGGTGTCAATATCTTTTTATATTATGGAGGTGATTTAATGTAGCGTTACATGAAAATGCCCAGGCTTCACTTGGATTGATCAAACTCAATGAGAAAGTAATTTACAAAACAACAGAGAATTAATAGAAGAAGAAGAATTAAAAACTATTTCCTTTGTCAGTCTTGTATAACGGGCTGAACACACAGGTATTCTATATAACATGAAGAACAGCAGCAGGGCCTAAATATTGGAGTTATAGCTGGTTGTTGAAAATTGAACAATGTTATCGCTAGCAGCATATTTTCCTCATGCAGGCCTAAAGAAT